GCTATTGACATTTAACTGAAGTTATTTTTAACAAATCAAATTATTTGACTAAATAACTACCTAGATTTGTTTAGTGAATGTTAAAAATAGAATTATAGAAATCTTTTATTTTATCATATCATATAGTAAATTAGGTAAGAACTGTTAGCTAGGTACAATAATATATACTTTTGTTACTAGGATAGGAATGCACCAGGATGTATCCCTATCAATGGGATTCTTTTTTTTTTATTCAAATCATATAAACAGTTAGGGGTTCTGTATTAGTGACAATAATAGTCATAAAGCATTAGTTTATAATTATTAAATTCATCAGTTTATTTTATCATTAATATACTTTCATTTTTAAAACCAATACTTACAATATCCAAAAAGTAATCCACGTGGGGTCTTTTATGCACAAAGAATCTGACGGGATGCTTGTCAATTGTCACTTTGAGGACAAAGTCTGGAGGAGTACCCGGTTTCACTGTCGGCCGCAGCATTGCATCATGATGTGAATGAATAAGTGTTTCATCTAAGTCTAATACCAGCATTTTTCTTTTTACTAGACCTAAAATATTTTTTTTATTAACAAATAAGATTCCAATTACAGTTAGGATTAGTTGTAGTTTGATGTATAATGTTTAATAAGGTAAACTGAACGCTTTTTATTATATTGGAAAAGGAAGTGCTACATATGAAATATTTATAAAGCTTCTAGGAAATGTTCTCTAAGTAAACAAACAGGAATATTTATAAATCATGTTCATTCACATTACCGGACTTTAATCTTTAGTTTAAGGATATTAGCCTGTAATCGCATTTCTGCACGATATTATACAAGGAAAACAAAACAAGTAGGTAGGTATAGATCACATCTGTACAATTTACCCAGAAATATGAATAACAAGATGATAGGACAACAACGTGATTACGACATTAATTTTGATAATACAGATAACTTACTCAGCCTGTGTCTAGATACAGGGGAAAGTGGATATATTTCATACTTGACAGATTGATATTGCGCCAACTGAAAAACCAAACACCACGTGAGGGTATGAATCTTTAGGCTCAAAAATAACTTTCAGTTGGTATTGTAAACAACATAGTTTATATTTACCGCTCGATATTGCTTCTTAAACATATAACAAAAACAACTCCATACTTTAGATGCGAGAAGCATGAATGTGCGAAGGCCCATTTGCAATTGTTTCAGCATTGGAACAGATTAGGAAACAGTCACGAATATATAAATACGCTTAGTCTTAAACAATAGCGGTGGAAACGAGATCATTGACGGCGTAATTCAATACAAACTCAATAAAAAAATAACTGCCGAAAACATCTAACCCGCCATGACATAATCGACCCAATTCGCTTGCTATCAATCATAGACAAAATTGATATATTGTCCTTTCAAATTGTCCATGATTTTAGTGAAGCCCTTATTTATTCGTTTAACCGGTTAATCTATGGTTTTATTATTTTTTCTCCCATAGACTTATGCCTATTTTATTTTCTACGGTAAAAAAATGTGAATTTAAAACTTAATAGTCTTAAAGAGTAGCTCGGTGGCTTAGTGGATAAAAGCGCTGTGGCCCGCGAACTTTGTTGTTAAAAATCTTTGCAAAGGTCGGTCACGGAATGTATGCTTAAAAAATTATAACGGGAGGCACGTTATGCAGTTGGTCTCCCCGGCTGCATTTGCAGTCGTTAATACCTTTCGCATTGGACCAGTGTGTATGGTCATGACCATCCTCCTAAAAGCGCTGTTGAAGATGTCTTTTGATATAAAGATATTCACAAAAACAAAAGTACAATTACGGACCCCGTCGGGCATAGCAAGTTTGGAAAGAGGGAAAGACATTGTTTTTTTAAATCGAAGGTATTAAATATTTCGTTTCTTAAATAAATGAAATGATTTATTATTGTATTTGATTAATTTCTACTTCACAATGTTAATGGAAAATATTCTTTATAGAAAATGGTAAAAAAAAACACTATTCCTAGCAATTAAAATTATTACACAATTTTAATAAATTATTTCATAATTTTAATTGCTGTTTTATTAATTTATTTATGCCTGCTATAATTAATATTATTTAGAGTGCACTAGGCCCGTTGCTCGCTCCGAGCCCCTGGGCTCAATTATCGGTCGACTCATACTGAGAACTCATGGTGCGATTATTAGCCGCAGCCGCTGTGGTTGCGGGACCGCCATTATTTTGGCGACAGCCATTGCTCGAGGAGTATAAGGTATCACAATAGACTTTTGTTTAGGGTCTCGGTATTAAAATACCTTTGTTGATGTGGTTTATCTTGATAAGTGTTTCTGATTTATCTTGATCAGAAATACTGATCACACCACAAAAAAAAAAACACAAATACATATAGTCACCATTATTTTTTTTATTGAAACAGTTTCTTTTGATTAATAAACATACACACAACATAAAATATTTTATAATGAACATCGATAATTATTACGTAGGCAAACTTTGAGCAAACAAATAAAAATTAACAAGTCATATAAAATAATTACAAATAACAAAATAATAAAAACTTTACAGAAACCTTAACTCTAAAAATTACATTTTACTTTGGTATATTTTATGCGGTATGATAAATAAACATTTATATTTATTTAATGAACACTTGTGGTTAAGATCTCAAAAAACTAAATCATGTTGCTCAATGTCAAAAATATAGATATGCTAAGGAGTACCTATCGTGCAACTTGTGAATATATTATCTTTAGTATAATTATAAACAAAAGCTACTTAAAATATAGTTTTGGTTTGAATACACAACACACGCACAACTCTTTTGAACTAGTCATTGAACATTATTATAATACATGTAACACTCTCTCTATGGAGCTGGAACACCTATATTACAGTACAATTATATAAATATTTATTTAAATATAATAGATATAAATAAGAGATATAAATATTTATTTAAATTGCAAAAACAGCTATGATTTACAGATTGTGTGGTTAGTAATGTTTAGTTTAGGTACATAGAAAAATATCCCAAGTAACAAAAATAAGTCATACAAAACTCAAGTTTTCTTTATGACTTGCAGTTTTTAAAATAAACCATAAAAAAAATTGTATAACGCGGAAAACGGCGCACTTTATACGACTATTGGATCCTATAATAGTCATTATTAATTCATAAGAAGTCATTTTTAGACGTTTAGCTGTCATATCTACGACTAATTTGTCATACATGTGCCATTGGATTCGCCTTAGAGACGTCACAATTTTGACACTTGTACAATACACTGGGTCTAACGTAGTCGTAACTTAAACACTTTTGTCATAAAGTATAGTTTTTACGGTGTAGATTGTACGGTAAATAATTCAAAAATATTGTAATACTGCATAAATATTGTAATCTTTTATAATTTAGGTGATTGTGTTAGATTATATGTATAGGAAAACGAAAGAAAATAAAAAACTGAATTAACTGTCAAACAATATTTTGTTTATGGTGTATTTCGGAGAGCGCCTATTTAATTTATTCATGTTTAAAAAATAAAAATAAAGTATTTTTTCCAGGTTATTTACTTCAAAAACCGTTTTACTAACTTGCGACTTTTTTATGACTTATCAGATATTAGTCATACAAATTATTTTTTAGATAGGTGCCAAGTTTACTTGTTTTTAGGTTTATTTTATGATAAGTTGCTTAAACCTTATTTTATTCAGTAGTACCTACCTTTTTACTTTTCAGTATTCTGTTTTAAATAAGTCATCGCAGTAAATCAATATAGTACCTATAATAAAATCTTATATTAAGGTGATACTATTCATTAAATGAAACGGCTTTAAACGGTTTCAGAGCGTTCAATTAATTAGTAAGATTTACATTAGAATTATCTACTTCGAACACAGCAACCAGTTAACATTTTATATTCATAATATTACTAATAATCTCTACTTTATTTAAGTTATTTGTACATTTGTGGATATTGAAGAATGAAAAAGATTGTATGTCAGTTTCAAAAACATACTCGGAACATTTTGTAGAATATTCTAGTTAATAAATGATACCATCATCATTTCAAATAATTGAAATTCAGAGCTGTTGCATATCGGCAATTCATCAATATCACAATCCGGCATATTAATTATATTTTTTAAAGTTCCTTCAAAGGTTGTATTACGCATTTTGCCAGTAATTTCCTGAATCTATAGACGTAATTGTCATGTTACTGCTGTTGTGTTCTTGGAACTTTTTATAATTCAAATATAACTTTTTTACTTACAATGCAGTACATGTGAGGTATATTAAAGCTCAATTCTAAATTTCAATCAGAAATTCACATTTTATTTCAAGATATCTTTAGAAATTTTACTCTCTACCAAATTTTATTATCTTCTTCACACAAATAGTCTCATTATCACCATTTTTTGTCATAAACATTATACCTTCAATTAATTCTTCTACGGAGACCATTATTATTTATGTTAGACTACTCAGTTATCGTTCGCCTACAATCACAAGCTTATTAGTTGTATGAACGACGTAAACTTACTTTTTCGTTATAATACCTTTATTCTTAAGACTGGTACATGATTAGTAATAAATTAGTTCCAACCACAGTTCCAACCTGGTTATAACAATCACTAGTTACAGACATATCTTAATAAGTACTGTTCTATGACTGTATCAAAGGTATGTTGTTATAGTCGTATAGCAGTCATTATAATAGCTAAGCGGTTATCACTAAGGGCGTTATATGACTACACATTCAATACGTCATAATAGTCGTTACTGCTGGTAAAACAAATGTTTGTATGCCTTGATATTAGGGCCAAACATCAATTAAACCAGAACGCAACAACTGTGACCTGTTATCGTGTATAACGTTATGTCTTATAATTTCTGAAATAAGACATATAGGTATTTATGATCATTTAGTCATAATATCGTAAGATTTAATCTGGTTTTATGACTAGTTTATTACTTGGGATATGAATCCAAAACGAATGTTTTATACTGTAAAAACATAATTAAACTAGCAAAGCTTCTGCCTGGAAGTTGTGTTATACATTTTGTTTAAACACTTAGAAATTCAAAGTAATTTAACTTAATTAACAGCTCCTACACAGAAACCTGGTCCGTTGGGTGGCTGTGCTCGTATGCCACGTCGCCTCATGCGGCATGTATGTTCTTCTAACCGTTGTCTGACAGTATCGAATGGGTCGTAAGTTCTAGCGTTTGTTGTTGAGAAACTATTGGAGCTCATAGCGACCATAGGAGCGCTCCATAGACGTTCGGCTGTGGCACTTGCGCGTGGCCATACTCTATGGGTAAATCAAAAGTAGGTTTCAACTTCATACTACAACACAATTCCGTTTATTTTTTACTGTCACTATCATGATAATAGAGTCGTTAAAGCATGGTTATGGTGGTAGTTTTCTAAATTATCAACAAATAATAAAGATCCAGAAACAGACTAAATTTAAAGTAATACAGGAAAGTGCGTGTTTTAAATGCCTCTATTTTATTTTTATAACTGATTATTTTGTTACTACATAATTACGTCCCTGATTTTTTAATCCCCGACGCAAAAACGACGGTGTGTTATAAGTTTGACGTGTCTGTGTGTGTTTCTCTCTCTCTCTCTCTCTCTGTGTGTGTGTGTGTGTGTGTGGTGTGTCTGTCTGTGGCATCATAGCTCCCGAACGGATGAACCTATTTTGATTTTGTTTTTATTAAATTAATTTATCATTATGAAGTGAAGTAATAAGTCATTATTATTTTATATCATGACTCATGACATGATATGAAATAATCATTATCCGCTGTGGACAATAAAAGTAAATGCTTACCTGCTAATAACATTGGCATCATCTACAACTTCTCCCCACATGCAAGCTTCACCACCAACTATTTGTTTTAAAAGTGTTGAGTCGTTTCCTATGCTTTTGGAAACCATTTCTCTAGGATCAGCGACATAGTAGTCGAACCAGTCTCCACCAGATTTCAAATGATCAAGATACCAAGATGAAGAGAAAATTAAGTTATGCCCAGCTCTCAGAACCTGAATTCATAAAATATTTATAATAATTGTATCAATAAATTAGAAGTGGAAATGATTGGTGGTGAATTCGATATTTACATTATTAAAGTAAAATTTTATATAATACTTTTTTCGAGTCACATATTTTTTTCATTTATTATATATATATATATATATATATATTCAAACATTTGTTATGATGGAGGCTATGGTGATACTCTATGAACATTTTATATATCTTAATATAAAGGTTCAAAAAATATAATTATTTGAAAAACAAATGGAAGCACAAAGAGCGGAGGTGTATTTTTTTCCCTTCGTATTTGGGTAGAAACATTGGGTTCTTATAATTTTTTAATATATGTTTGCGAAAACAATAACTAAATAAAAATAATATAACTATAAACGATAGTTTAGAATTTGTATAGGGCTTCTTTCGTGTTCTGAATTAACATATAAGCTATTTTATATAGCTATTTTTTATTGCACGAAACGGTTCCCTGGGATCATGCCGGTGAAGCTGATGGCAAAAATCTTGTACAACTTTTAATAATATAAATAAATATAAAACAACTATACGATTTCCATTTTAAAACTAATGTATAGTAATATCATGTTATTATTAAAATTAAACCAAGTTAATTCGTCTGATAGTAAAACATATTATTATCTAATCAACATAGTCAGAGAGAAATACTGAACTTTGGCCGTAACCTTATTCTCATTTGGAGAAATCTACAGTGCCTATTAAATAAATAAATAATAACAGTCTTAATTTATTAAACGTAAACTTACTTTTATCATTTCATAGACCCAGTCATTTTTCCATACTTGGATAAGAGTATCCGCGTTAAGTGGTACGCCTTCATCAAATACTTCCTGAAATAATGTAAAATATACTATGTATATTGTATTTTCACAAGACCGAGGTTATTTTACAGTTTAAAATATTGAGAAATTTAATTAGCTTACTATTAGGAAACGAGTATATACTGACTGCTGTCGAAAGTGTTCACAAAAATCAATTTTACACTATGACACTAGGATCAGGTTTGGACCATTTAAAAATGCAAAAAATGACATCTTAAAAGTTAAGTTAGAAGCTGAAGCTTTGATTTCTGACAAAAAATGGGATAGAGATAATGTATAATAGATTATAATATAATAGATATTTAAGTTGCAAATCAACAGTCGAGATGTTTAGTTTCTTTTTTTAGTAATCTTAGTTGTGCTGTTATTATACATTATTATTAATTAACGTCAATTTTCATGCATGCTGTGTTTGCCTTTATATAACAAATACATTTATATTTAGTCATAAGATGTTCCATAGACGATAGAAATAATGTTATTTGTTTCTGGTAAACCTAAATAAATAAATAAATAAATAAATAAGAGTTGAACACACCTGCCAAACAACTGCTTTAGAACTTCCAAGAAGTGGTAATACGTTTTTCATGAATAAGGCGTGGAGTTGAGCAGCGGTAAGCTTATTCTCGGTCATGTACTTCTGGAGTTCTGGATTCGATTTCCTTAACAAGGATATTGGTGTGAATTTCACTTTAGGATATTATTAAGAATAAAAAACACAAATAAAAAATAATAAACAATATTTTAATGAGATGCTTTAATTAAGGTTCTTACCAACATTCTAATTCAACTTCATCTCCTCCAACATGAAAGTATTTATCTGGGAACCATTGTTGCACTTCTTTGATAAGGTCCTCTAGGATTCTGTAAGTTGCGTTATTGATTGGATTCATTGGCCCCAAGCCCACTACTTGATTATTTATGTAGCATTCTGTCAAGATGCCCGGATATGCATTACCCCATGATCGGGTATGACCTGCATATGAATATACAGTATAAGAACGATTAAAATAAAAAAAGCGATATAGGTCATTAAAGAAAAGAAAGAAAGAAAATTATTTATTCAGTGACCATACAAGTAAAACAAAAAGGATATATTAATAACTATACCTATAACTACATCTGCGTAGTTCAATTACCTTAAAATTAATACTTCACAAATATTGACCCTAACATTAACGTTTAAGTAGTCTCGCACTTGGTACAAGACTTTGAGCCTGTAAAAACCAGCCTTGACAGTCTCAGGAAAAGGCTATGAAATCGTAATTACATTACTAATACTATAGATACGCTTACCGGGAACATCGAATTCTGGCATGACTCTTATTCCTCTATCTCTTGCGTAATTTACTACTAGTCCAATATCATATTTAGAGTATATCATCGACTGGTGAAAAGCACCTTTTGCACTAATAAAAAGATGAATTGATATTATTTTTTTAAAGGAAAAATATGATTTCATATAGTTTCACGCACACTACTCAACATGTATTCCTTAAATGTATCTAAATAATAAACAAAGAATATATGAATGAATCTATTTACCATGTTTAAGGTTAATAAATAAATGAATGTATTGTAAATGTATTGATCGAGTTTAAAGTATATTGGATATATAAATAAAATAGCTATTAAATGCATTAATAATAATAACTAGATCAATGATATTTATAAGTGAAAATGGAAATAGTTGCCCCTCAGTATTTCTGTGTCCTTACAGGGCGTCACTTGTATAAAATTTATTTATAACATCTGTATGACCTGTGATTTGCATTGAATGAATTGAATGAATTGAAGTAAAACTATTTTAAATGAGTGTAGCGCGTTTATAAAAATCAAATATAAACGCGCTACACCTATTCAAGATAGTTTTATATAAGGAATACAGGAATACATGATCTCGGCAGAAAGATATTGTTTTGAACAAAGTAAATACCCTTGAAATAAAGTTACGAGGAAAATGAAATATTTATATGTACAAATTATTATTGACTTACAAATTATAAATTAAATACAAATTCAAATTTATACATAATTATTCCATATTATGATAAACAATATTATTTTTTATCATAATACGGACATGTTTGCGTATGTAGTTAATTAAAATAAACATAGTTATGGCTTTATCTCTATGGTTTTATTCTGATTATATTTTATAGTTTTCTTATTAATTAATTTCGAATACCTTAAATCGGGAAACATTTGACTTTGATATGGGAAACTCTGATCATCCACGATATGCCAATGGAAGACGTTCATTTTATTCATTGACATTGCATCTAAGGTTCTCAGAATGTTTGACAGTGAAACATAGTGTCTTGAAGTATCTAGTAGTAAACCGCGATGTGAATATCGAGGATAGTCAGCTATATGTGTTTGATTTATGCGTATTTCCTGAAATATATTAGAATGTATTAGCATTGTTGGTCCCTTTAATCGCACTGAAAGGGGTGTCATCTTAATATTATAGGTAAATTAAACTTTGCGATACTTACGTTGTAATCGTCTGAAAAGTAAAATAACTGTGACCATGTTTCTAGACCTCGCAGAATGCCCCATATAGACATACTCGATAATCTCGCTTTGTCATTGATGAACAGTTCATCTAGAATGTAAACCGAGAACTATAATAAACTACCTTTATTAATCCCATAAGAGCTATATCATATACAAACAAAGAATAAATAAAAATCGAAACTGTAATTATATTACTTCCGGTACATATTTTTCCTTTGAAGACATATTTTCTTATAAAAATAATGTTTCAGGTATATTATTTGTATATTTTTATTTATATGAATACAAACAAAAACCTTGACAATTTATATTATTCATAAGTAATACATACCAAGTTTGTCAATGTCATTTTTTAATAAATGCTAATAATATTAGGTGATCATCATTTGTATGATTTTAAGGTCATTCAAGTAAAACATTTTTTAAATTTTCGCTAAACTGATAGAGGTAAAAATAAATGAGGTTAAATGTGAAAAAAAAATACTTTGTAAAGAGATATAACTAGTAAGAAGTTATTAAATCAAAGAAAAGAATAAGGAAACAATGACATTAATATTTTCAAACATACAACTTATTTAAAACAAAACAGAGTGTTAATATAGGTCACATAGGGCAATTATCGCAACGCATTCTTTGTTCAGAAAACATTATCTGCTATGACTTGAGAGGAAAAAATAACTGTTAGTGAATTCATATGAATTTAGATAAGAAATTAATGGTGTATTCAGCACAGAACTGATAATAAGTAGAAAATATACTACTAAGTATTTTGAATTTAAAATCTAGTAACGAAATAATAGAAACTTAATTAAAGTCATTATAATTTAAACTATGATCTACCTACTTTTATTCGAGTAGAGTTCCTTTTTCATAATGATAGTAAAATGAAACACTTACAGCTTTCATCCATTCCAAAGTAAGGGTAGTCTTGACATGGCGCCAGTAATTCAATCTCTAACTTTGTGAGAGCACCTATTTTATATACATCATTGGCGGAATCTTGAGTTACAGTATATGTATGCTTACGTCTTCTTTTTAAAAATGTTTGACGTGATTTTGTATTTAATTCTCTTTTCACAATAAACGCATACCTTTTTACTGCATTCGTCAAAATATTGCACGATAATGCGGTTGTCTAAAAAGAAACTCACCTTCATTAGTACAATAGATTAATACAAATAGATTAATTAAATGTACGGAGATGGATGATTTATCGTTTTCTACAAATTTTTTAAAACCAATATCTTCCGTAAGCTAGTGAAACACTGGTTTTAAAGTGTCGCCATGTTTGTTTTCCCCGGTTCGATTTTGAGGCGAGTCAATAGGTATAAAAAATGACCTTTTCTATACTGTTGTGGGTCTAGGTGTTGTATTATTATATATTGTTTTAAGAGGCTATGCAGTTCCCTGAGGAACTGTAGTCACTGCGACCTAAAAGATGTATTATGACTCGCCGCCAGAGTTACAGTAACTATATTCCTGGCTTTTAGAGATTTTATATCTTTTGGGCTGATTATATGTCGACCCAGATGTATGCTTCGTTTGTGGATCAGTGGTCCATATTAACACAGGATATGTTTTGGTGTTTCACGTTCCTGTTTGCAATATCTGCATACATATGCAATGTTCTCCAATATTTATCGAATTTCCAGTTATTATCAATTTTCTTTTTATTAATATATGTATCACTACCTTTATTTCTGAATCCATTATTATATACGAATCTAAAATATTGCTATACTTGTGTTTATACGTACTCATACATGAAATAATCATTCTTTGTTTTAATGTAAAATTGGCTAACAAGAATTTGTGTAATTTGTCTTTATCGTACCTACTAATAATATAGAGCTTTCACCATACATATAATGTCAAATTCAAAGTATGTAGAATGAAATATGTAAGTCAAAATACAATTTATGTGGAATAACTAACGCAGACGACTAAAATACCTAGACATTTTGCGCATGTTTAAGTTGTGTATATCAGTTTACTTAAAATCCAAATTAGTAATTTAAAAAAGGCTAGCGATTCATAATCTTGGGGTGAACTGAGCTCAAAGTTAGCCACTCAGATTTTAAGATTTTAATATATACTGCAGAGGATTTTAGCTATTGTTTATAGTTTTATAAATATCAATATCAATATCAACTACTTATATGTACAACTAGTTATTTACATATATCATACTATTACTACAAATTAGTTTTAAATTAAACCAAAATCGATAAAGTAGGTAAAATCAAATAAAACAAGCACTTGTTTCCAAAACTAGCCATTTGCGTTATTTTTACTAAAACGTTATTATGCGTTATTTTATCAGGATTGCGTTATTTTTACTAAATACTATAATGTATATATTTTGGTTGACTACTTTCATTAAAACTCTCATGTTATACGTGTATTTAGTCTATAACGTTTGATGTCGCCAAATAGTCGATCGTTCGCTTGGCGGTGTGCGACGAGGCGTTGTCGTGGTGAAGGAGGATCCTACTGCGAGGTCGTTTCTCTCGAACTTTTTCCAAGACAAGTGGCAAACAATTGGTAGTGTACCATTCTGCAGAAACTGTTTTTTGATCCTCTAACACAATTGTTGCAAAATGACCTATCCTTCCAAAGAACGAGGCCACCATTTATTTTCCCGCACTTCGATCTCTCTTCACTTTAGTTGGCAACTCCTCGAAAGGAAACACCCACTGAGCAGATTGTCTTTTGGTTTTAGGATCATAACAGTAAATCCAGCTTTCGTCACCTGTTAGTATGTCGAACACAGCATTTGAGTCACCTCCGTTAAATCTTTCAATCATTTTACGACACCAATCCACACGATGGAGTTTTTGAGCCTCAGTCAAATTATGAGGTATCCACCGGGCGCAAAGCTTCCTGACCGCTAAATGTTCGTGGAGGATTTTGTGCACTTTATGTTCTTAAGAGGACTATTTTTCTATCTAAGCAATTAATTTGATATATCTTTTTACCAAATATACATTGCAAACGTGCACGAATTTAGAATGTTAAAACTTATGATAGTATGATCATCTAGAAAATACAACGGTAGATTATTGTGAAACCATAATTAACCTATATTTATCTCTTGTGTGTATAGTGTTACGTATATACTATAATATGTTCCCTGATGATTGTTTACACTTCGTAAACAATAAACAAATACATAAACAAATCACGTCATCACGTACGGTAATTGCATTATACAGAACTACACATTTCCCATATTAAAAAATATAAATATAGATAGAAACCTATTAAAAAAATTGAATACAAAAAGTTGTGATTAATGAAAGATTGTCTGTGACGATTGGTGGCTGGCACCCATCATTGTAGGAGTGCCTCAAGGCAGAATATTCGGACCATTGACTTTTCCTAATTTACATAACTATTTTGTTTTTCATTTTAGATAGGCACTAACAACTTGTGCGAGGAAAGATGATTTGCAAATAATATCAGTTTTGCGTTTTTTTTTTGCGTTTAATAATTTTATGCAAGACAAGTTCATAACGTTAATGTTAAATACTTATAATCAAATTTTCTCTAACAGTAATTGACTTAAAAAGTTTGTAGCACTAATGAAATCGGCGACGACGAAATACACGTATTTTTTACGCGCTAAAACAAGTTGGAAATATTTGCCAGGATTAAATGTTTGTTATTTTGAAAGTGCTTACAATAAGTTTATTTGATAACAAAATATGATCATATTATTACAAATAAATTTATAAGGGTTGATTTCATGCTTGGTTAAATTTCAATTACGATATATGACAGGTATTATATATGGTGTGAAATTGGATCTAAACATGAGGGCCCATAACCATGATTTCATTAGCATGTGTAAAAATCAATATTATGACCAAACACATTTTTCCAATTTGCAGCATTTTATCCAACATAATTTACGTTAATATAAATGCTATTATGGTGATATAGTTCCTGCTCAAAATTATGAACTTGTTTTTACTTACATTGACTTCCAGCCTTGCAGGATCAAAAATCAAATAATAGTTTTCTTTTCTTTCGTACTGCGGTTTTGGCCAAACTTCACCTTTTGTTGGAGGATACCTTGGCCCGGGGTCCACTATATACATACCATTAGTTAAAACTATATTGTTGATTATTATTATTGTTAATATTATTATTATACAAAATCCAAAATAAAATTTAACATTTCTCATCATTTTGGATGAACATTAAAACACACACAAATTATTACGAAAAAATTAATATAAATAATAGAAGTGATATAAAAAAATATGCTGATTTATGATTTAAATAAACTTAATTTTTATTGAAAACATTTTTAATTAATTGAAATAGGTAATCATTTTTGCGAACTGAACGGAAACATGTGCGACTATAACTTTTAAAAGACTGCCGCAATTGCACTAAAATTTATACAATGGATAAGTCAATCTAAAAGTCACACTGAAGTTTCTTTATCGTACTATAAATCTATGCGTGCGCTACATAGAGTTTTATACTCATTGGTACAACGCCAGTGAATTAATCGTTTTATTTATATTTTGTTTCAACATTGGAAGAAATAGTTATCTCTAGTGAGTAATCAACATATATAATATAAAATAATATTATATGTAAAAAGACGTCCCATTAACCGGCTATCACATTTTCTCCGGCTTATATATCGGTTTATCTTGGGGCAGCATTGTCTTAACTTGTCATTTGTCTATGATTTATTACTATTGACGTTTCAGTTTTGGGGGCGGTATCGTCATTTTTTATCGAAAGTTCCGTAAAAATGAGAATAAATGGTATCATTCGATAACTGGTTCAAAAAGCTATAGAATATTTGTATCTAATGTCCATCACTGAAGTATAGCAGGTGAGTTTTGAACCGTGAAAAATCTAATTCATATGATTGACTTGCCAATCAAAGTTTAGTGGTCATATCCTGCCTATATTGATTCACAATTGGATCTTCAATCTTGTCCCCCTTAATATTAACTTAATATGAAATTTTAAACATCATTTGAGGGTAGATTCTTGATAGTCATTCTTTCCATCAGTACATACATTTTTTAACATAGAACCTTGTTGGGAACAGTTTTTTCCAATTATTCCATGTATTCTTGCTATGGTGTTAATGAACCACAAATCTAGTTTAATTTTCTATAATAGTGGTGTTTGCCATTTATAATAATTTTATGTAATAATTAGGATTAGTTTATCATAAGCACTATAATTATTTTATTTGATTGATACAAGAGGTGAATAGAGAGCTCCGATCAGTGCAAACCTACTAGATTACATTAAAATCCTGTAGATTGAACCTAACATATTGTAAAAAGGTCCACCATTGGATTTTGCTGAGTAGCTAGATTTCAAGTTACTGAATAAATGAATATAAAATAGAGTATTTGTAGGTCAGGTATTTGAAGTTTTGTCTATTTCATATGAGTTATAATGCATTGAAGTTTTGAAGATAGAGAGTAACTGCCAAGTGAGTTTCATGGAGGAGAATCCCATGCACCCCCTGTTGCTTGTTAGGTAGAAGGGATAGTCCAACTTTACCTATATTTTGGGTTGTCAAAACCAAGAAGGTTAAAAACTATGGATGTAGTCTATAGTTTATAAAGTTTGATAAGATCTAATTTACATATAAAATATTAATTTGCAGATTCCTAATATTTATCTGTCATCATAAAATCACTTATAATTTTCTTCATCAGTTTATAATCTGTCTTTTTACATCATAAAATATCATATTTTTAGATTAGGTTAGATTATACATCATAATTTTAGTCAGATTATGAACTGATATTGCTTACTATTTTACAGTCATATTACATAATAATAATTAAATTAGCATTCATTAACAATGACATATGTTAAATACTGACATAAATAAATAATCCAATATCGACATATATCAGCATATGTTAAATAGTGTGATTAAACAAGATAATTGTCTGATCTAAGAATGAAATTGTATTAATTTAAAATATATAAGACATGTTAATTTAATGGTTCTCTGAATAAAGGCTTATTACTAACATTATTAAAAAATAGTGAAGTACAACTGCACACTAGGTGACGTGAAATACACCAAGTTTATTGTTTGCTAAATCTGAATCCGAAAAAAAATAAATCATTTATGAAGTTAGGTGTGGGTACGGATATTGATGACGTTTTTATATTCAAATAAGTAGAGAAACACATGTGACATACACTTACAACATAGAGAATCCCTTTTAATCTTTTCACAAGATAATTAAATAAGTGTATTAAACAATGAACATTTAACATAACATTTTTTATTTGTTTGCAGCAAATAGGCTCCGAAACTACAGGACCGATTTTAAAAATTCTTTCACCTACGAGAAGCTAATTCATTTGTAGTGGACATAGGCTATAATATATCCCAAAAATATAAAAAAATCCTTTATTTATTTTCATCTCTATAAAAATGGGAGTGGAAGTTTGTATAGGGAATTAAAATGTTACCATAGTAACCATTGTTACTATTCAATTTGTCATTATAATTATATTTTCATGATATGAAATATTATCGAAATTAATATATTAAATCTGATCTAACACATATCATGTACATAATGCATGAATCTCACAATTCAATATTTCCACAGTAAAAAGTTATGAAATCAATGTAAACCAAGTTGATTAATTCTGTATCAATCTTTCAGTGAAAAATTTATATTATTTAACAAAGACTTAGCAAAGGTTAACCTAGTTTGAGGTTCTACGGCAGTAATATTTACTCCTAGAAGGTAGTAGATTTGCTTATTCTCTGTATAATAGGAATTTGGACTGTTACAAAATATTATAAATAAAATTCCAATTTTAGCGTAAATTTACTCTGATGATAAACCTTGTTTTTTAATATCACTTTTTTAATATCGTCTGGAACTATCATCAGATCACACTCCAATTATTGTTATCCTGAAAACAGAAGTGACTAAGACTCTTGGCCAATGCAGACTGCATAGTCACAAGACAAATTGGATTCTCTATCGAAGCCTTGTGTCTTCAAAAATCAACATAAACTTGCCACTGAAAACTGACGATGATATAATGCTGGCAGTTGAGCATTTCAATCACTGCATCCAAACATCAGCATGGGAGGCTACACCTGCTCAAAAGGAATCTGGAACAAACCCTTGTACACAGACTATTAGAGATATTATCTCTGAAAAACGTTCTGCCAGGAAGAAGTGGCAGCGGACTAGGCACCCTGAAGATAAGAAAAAAGTAAACCACCTCATATCTAAAGTAAAGAAGTTGCTACTTGAAGAAAAAAATGAAAACATTGCAAATCATTTGATAAACTTAGATGCTACAGCTGCTAGTGATTATTCTCTGTGGAAGGCTACAAAAAAACTAAAGCAACCTAAAATTTATCGACCGCCGATTAGAAATCCGGACAATTCATGGGCTAGAAATGATCTTGAGAAAGCAAATACGTTTGCTGCTCACCTGAAAGAAGTTTTAAGCCCAACCCCTGCGATGTGTCCACGGATGTATTAAATTGTGTTTCCGCAGCTCTAAGTGCTACTTATCAGCTTGACCCACCCATAGCTAAATTCACCAAAACTGAAGTACGGAATGCGATATTGAAACTGGACCAAAATAAGGCTCCCGGTTATGACCTGATAACGGCGAAAATTCTAAGGGAACTTCCCGAAGAAGGTATAAAAATACTGACACAGATCTACAATGCGATTCTCTGGAAAAGTTATCTCCCGCCCCAATGGAAAGTAGCCCAGATAATCATGATTCTAAAACCAGGGAAAAGTGCAGAAGACCCAAAATCGTATCGCCCCATAAGCCTTCTGCCAATTGCATCAAAACTGTTGGAGGTCCTGTTTTTGGGTAGATTAAACCCAATCATAAAGGAGGGCATGCTGATCCCAAATCACCAGTTCGGTTTTAGACATGGACACGGTACAATCGAGCAAATTCACAGACTCGTTAGTGATATACACGATTGTTTCGAAAAAAAGGAATACTGTTCTGCAGCATTCTTGGACATATCGCAAGCGTTTGATCGGGTCTGGCATGACGGCCTTCTTTTCAAGATACGGGAGACGCTGCCTGTAAACTATTTTCTGTTATTGAAGTCTTACTTGGATGAACGTCGGTTCTTTGTTAGATGTGGCGAGGATATTTCTGGCCTCCAGAAAATGCATGCTGGAGTTCCTCAGGGCAGTGTCCTAGGCCCAACACTTTACCTTCTATTCACTGCAGATTTACCAACCACTAACGGGGTAAAAGTAGGAACATACGCTGACGATACCGCACTTCTTGCTGTGAGCAACGATGCCAATATAGCCTCTAGATTACTCCAGACAAGCCTTGATAGAGTCTCATCTTGGCTAAAAAAATGGCACATTAAGGTGAATGAAGCAAAGTCTGTTCATGTTACTTATACACTTCGAAAAGGTACTTGTCCACCCGTTACTCTAAACGGTATCATTATACCTCCAGCTCAAGAGGCTAGGTACCTTGGATTGCATCTGGATCGAAGACTCACCTGGAGGAAGCACATTTTTGCAAAGCGCAAGGCACTCAGCATACAGTTTCGTAAATATTATTGCATGATATGCAGAACATCAAAGCTATCACTGGAAAATAAATTACTTATTTATAAATGCATCATAAAGCCAACTTGGACATACGGAATCCAACTATGGGGTACATCTGCGTCAAATGGTACATCAAATTTAGAAATACTACAGAGATTTCAATCGAAGGTTCTGCGAACTATAGTAGATGCACCTTGGTACATAACTAATGAGCGACTACACAAAGACTTAAACATCTCAACTGTAAAGCAAGAAATTAGAGATAGAATGCCCAAATATAGAAACCGCTTACAAAATCATAAAAATGAACTTGCAACAGAGCTCTCTAGGCCAAGAATTGTGTTTTCCAGATTGAAACGGAAGTCTCCACTGGACTTGTGCACATAAATAACTTTCACAAATCTGTGTACACTATTGAAGTGGCCAAGTCACTGGACTTGATACCACATGAAGAATTGTAAATGAAACGATATTAAACTATTGCTAAATGTCCGTTAAGTGATAGATCGCAATAAAAAGTATAAAAAAAAAATATATATCACTTTAAGTTTTAGGGTAAAGAATTTATAGGTTCATATTTAAGAATATTAGCGCCGAAATATCGGAAACTCATAAAATATAAAGCAGCAATCCCGTTATTAGCAATCATTCCGATGTTGATGACCGTAAAGGTTTAGAACGGGCACATTTTTGATTTGCCCCGAGTTAGATTGAAGAATCTGGGTCAAATAAACAAAGAATAAAAAGGTTTGATTTCCAATTCAAATATTTTAGATACAAAATGATTTGTTTCAGGCCTAATTCAGGATGATCGGAGGCCTGTTTGTGTACAACCATAAGGGGGAGGTGTTGATATCGCGCGTGTATCGGGACGATATCGGCCGGAACGCCGTTGATGCGTTTCGTGTCAATGTAATCCACGCTCGGCAGCAAGTGCGCTCGCCAGTCACTAACATCGCTAGGACCTCATTTTTTCATATCAAGGTACCATAATTAATGGTTTGTTACTTTCGCTTATTACTTTGACGACCTCCGCGGTAGAGTGCGTTCGTATGTCGGTTTTAAGGCGTCGCCATCGCTGAGGTGGCACCTCAGCGATGGCGACTATTCTATTCTCGGTCGGAATTTTTCTATATTATCTCGGGTCTGGGTGTTGTGACACCTACGTTGTCTCATTTATACCCACAAATAGTGAAAATAAATAAATTAGAATAAAGTACATATTATAAAAAAATTTTGATATTCTATATCAAAAATAAAAAATCATGATTAGCATTGTTATTGATGTTTATTAATTTATTTGACAGCGTGCCAACATCTGGTTGGCTGCAGTAACCAAGCAGAATGTTAACGCAGCCATGGTGTTTGAGTTCCTACTTAAAATCATAGATGTCATGCAGTCCTACTTTGGCAAGATCTCCGAAGAAAACATTAAGAACAACTTTGTTCTTATCTACGAGTTGCTGGATGGTAAGAATTTTGTGTTAATTTTTATTTTTTTTAAAGAACATAATTTGCAGGGTTTTTTTTTAATAAATTCTATATTTACTATGCTAAATTTTGAAATTGATTATATACTGCGTGGTTCTGTATTATACATATAGACATTCCTTTGAATCACTTTATATATAAGCTGTTGTAACGGTGCGCAGTACCATTGTTTATTTCGTCCTAGGTATCCGCATGTAAAACTATTTGCCCTTGATCTTCAACATCATTTCTTTTTCTTATTCCACTTTCGTAATTTGAAATTTGGACTAATCCAATATGCTCTTTATGAATGTTAATTCGTAAAAAATTCATCTGATGAAAACATGATTTAATTGTACAAATTTAAATTATATACAATATAATAATTATATCGAATAATAATAAAATTATTATAATTTAAATAAGAAACATGTAAACGTATATCTTCTTGAAATATCTACTAAGTTCTATCTATTTCGGAAAACCCAGAAATGGTTTTCTTATTACCCTCTAATAAATCAAGTTTTAAAGCTCAGTCAGCCTTTTATTCATTTGCCTAAGCATCGAACTCGTCACAGTGTAATATTATTATGTGCTAGGACTTCGTGGTATGGATGATATATTATATTGCAAAAATTTACTATTGGAGCAACACTAAATTCACGGAAAAATAATCATATCAATCTGTTTCATACTGTTGGCGATTGTAGGTATTATAATTTTGAATGAAACGGCTGATTATTTTTTCGTGAATTCATTTTACTTCCATAGTAAAAGTTGTTCAGTATGTTTAATTAATCCACCCCACGAAGTCTTAATAATAATAATATTATTATTAGGACTTCGTGACTTTAGACTTCGTGACTTCTTCAAAGCACATAATAATATTACACCTTGTATTGGTAAAAGCCGCATTAAAATCCTTTGTGTGGTTAAAAATATCAATCCAAAGAAAACTCCTTTTATAATTAATTAGAAATTGATAATGTTATTGGAATATTTGAAATAGGCTTTTAAATCAAATTGAGATATTGATGGGTTACTGACCTGATGTCAGAAACTGTTCTTAACTAATTACAATTACCATGATATTTTAAATAACGATGATCCATAATATTTTTACAGAGATCCTAGACTTTGGATATCCACAAAATTCAGACACAGGTGTCTTGAAAACATTCATCACTCAACAAGGCATCAAATCTGCGTCTAAAGAGGAGCAGGCACAGATTACTTCACAGGTATATAATGTATTTATTATACACTGTTATTTGTCAAACAATAATAATCATGCAGGTCTGTGCCTGATCAATCTCTAAACTAAATAAGCAATTACTTAGGGAATCAACTCTCTTGACAACATGAAACCAGTAAGATGTTATCATCATCATCAGCCTTTTTACGTCCCCACTGCACGGGCTCAGGCCTTCCTTATGGATGGTTAAGGAGGATGGGCCATGACCCTCCACGATGGCCCAATGCGGATTGGAGGGTATTAACAACTGCAAATACAGTCGGCTTAACATGCCTTCTGAGGGACGAAGTAGCTCGAGACAATGGTTTTTTGGTCACCAAGGCAGCCAAGCGAGTGGCTGTGATCTTCTAGTGGTTAGGACCCTACGTTGTGAAGATGTTATGCAGCAATTCTATACAAATCTTTTCATTTTTTTAATAAACTTATCGAAAAAGTTTAGTATATTTGTTTTACTTATAATAAGAAATTATAATTATAATAATTATAATTATACAATAATCATTATCTTCTTAATTATAAAGAAAACAAATGTATATATTTGTCATATGAATTATCTTAATTAAAATTTAAAGTGCTAATGCGCTGGAACATTGTCTAAATAACACCCGCGTAACGTCATATGGAAATAAAAAGTATAGATAGCTCAAAGATAAATTATGTAATCATCATTGAAATATTTATGAAAAATCCCCTTAATATTGCTACAATATTTTAATTAATTTTTAGTTTGTTTGTATGTTTTAGTTTGTGTTTTGTTGTTTTATAAGTAAACTAGCTGACCCGGCGAACTTCGTACCGCCATATTTTATTTCTCTAATCACAACTGAGGAAATAAAACCCTTCCGGTAAAATATACACTTGCTTAAGAAACAATTAATTAGTACGTCTTATTCGTTTACATTCACGACATAAGTGAATAATTGAGATGATAACTATCCTATCCAGTAAGTTAGACCAAAATACGGGTACATGTGAAATTTGATTGAAATCGGTTCAGAAGTTTTGGAGTTTATTGGCAACATACATCGTGCCACAAATTTTTTATATATATAAGATAATGAGGTAAATTTTTGAAAAAGTAACATTTTCTTTGTAATAAGGCTATAACGAAAATGAAGTACATTTTTTTTTAACTTAACCATAAGTAATAATAAATTGGGATATATTACATATATTGTGAAAATCATAATTGTCGTTGCTAATTTAACTAACCAACGCAACCCAACTCAATAAGTGTACTCATCAACCGGTGATTATTTGTTAACGGTACTGATTTACAATTACGTCATCAAAATGGCGGCCAGCCGCATTAGCAATTTTCGGAGATTATAACTGAGCATATAGTGCACAGAGTATTTAGTAATAAGCATTTGCCCGAATATACAAGTAGTTTCGAGTCTAAATATGATATATTTCTTAGTTTCAGTCTTTTTTTTACGTTAAGAGTAATTTTGTTTGGCAACAGGTCACTGGACAAATAGGATGGCGTCGGGAGGGTATAAAGTACAGAAGAAACGAGCTCTTCCTGGACGTACTGGAATATGTCAACTTGCTGATGTCACCGCAAGGTATATATATAGCAGGATTATGATAAAGACATGTTTTTGATCAAAATCTAAGGATTTATAATTAAAAATTGAATTTCAATGTAAAAACTCAGACCTAATTAGTTTAATAGTAAAATTAATATCGAATATCAAAATACTGTCTTTATTATAATTCTATGATATGTACAATATTATAACATTTAAATATAAATTAAATCTGTTTTTAAATTATTTTTTTTTTACTTTAATATAATAAGACAAAGTATGTGAAAGTTGCCCCTACCCTTCTTTATGATTTTGTTTCAGGGCAAGTGTTGTCAGCCCACGTGGCCGGTAAGGTAGTGATGAAGTCATATCTGTCCGGTATGCCCGAGTGCAAATTTGGCATCAATGATAAAATCGTCATGGAGGCCAAAGGGAAAGGAAACGGTAAATGTTATTTTTTTTTATTAAGTTGATAAAATTGGTTTATTCTGCCAAAGTTTTTATGCGGATCATTTAAATGAAAATAAACTTCTACAAGTACTCTTTACATAGAGGACTATACTCTATTGGGATACAATTGTCCTGGTTCACTTGCAGACTTATATATATAAGATTTACTCTTGAATGCAGTAGGAATGTCAATTTCAATCCAATCAACAAAGATCTCAATTTCCATCAAATCTTAGCTCATACTCATCAATTATAGGCTCAATACTCAATGTCAATCAGATGTTTCAATAACCAAGCAATATTCAGCCAATTGGCACTAGAGTTGTACTAAATCAAGAATACAAAGAGACAATTGCAATGTCGTTCGAATATGATATCTTAAGATAAAAAATATCGCTTGCTATAAATTCGAATTCCAATGGCCCAACACATGACTAAGATAGTATAATATTTATATATTAAGTATCTTAATTTCGTTGGTTAAGATACGAAAGTTATAGCATTATATTATAGTATCTTCACCGTGTGTGTATAACTTAAGAAGTTAATATATGTTATGTAAGATGAAACATTGTAGCATCTGATATAGGACTGTTAGGACTTATGGTATAATATGATATCTATCGAGTAGTATGGATGAAATTTTATTTCAAACAGAGTAGAAATTCTACTCTATTTGAAATAATAATACTTATGACTGTTTATTTTAATTCAAAAAAGCCATAAAACAAATATTTCGGAAAAAAATCACATTTGGTTGATTTAAATTTTCTTTATACCCGCGAAAACGCTGTCCATCATATTGATGACGTCATTATGATATGTACACAAAACATATTTTTAAAGTAGAAGATTTAAAGATGTCAATAAAACAAGAATAATTGTAAATGTAACGATCAATTACGAAATAGAAAGATTAATTATTATTAAGCATATATTTATGACTAATCTGACAACTGACGTCACACAATGGCGGCACGTCTTTCAAGTCACGTGACAGACATACAAAAAATCACAAGTTAATTTTAAGATTTATCACCTTACGATAATCTTGCGATTTAAGACTCATACGTGAGTTGCACAAACATCCATTAGTGTTTAATGGCGTCGTTAAGCTCTAATGAATGTCAGATTGTATAGGTAATGTCGCTTTAAACTAATGATAATTTAATGGACGTTTGAGCAACTGCTGATAATCTCTATGTTTATTACGATGTAATTTTTTTTTTGCAATACGGTGTAGACAGTAAATTTTTTTGGTAGTAGTTTAATACACAAATACCGATAATCACACTTTAAGCTTATTATACAGCAAGCAATTAAAACCACTCTCCAAATTTGAGTATGTTAATCTTTACGACAAATAATGAAATACGTGTTTTTTCTTTTTATGTCGTTTAGAACAAAAATGTTGAGTTATATCGTCACCAAGTTATTTTCAAAAAACCTACATTTGTGGACGCTCTCGCTGCCCAGTACATGCGCTTTACGCGCTACGTTACACTTACCCCTCCCTCCTTTGCCGCAATTCATTGATAGTAATAATAGCAGCTACCTAAAATGTTTTCGTTTTGTCATGCTTGGGGAAATGATAAATAAAGTTGAAACCTCTTCATACTTTTACGGGCTCAGGACCGTCAAATTGCATAAATCGTATTAGATACCTACTATTACAATAGCTATACTGCTTTAAATTTATAAAGTAAGTAGGAAAGTAAATATCGAGTTACCTAAAATTCTGTTTAGTTAAACCAATTCAAAGTAGGTACTTAACTCGCTATTCTTTTGCAATCAGGTGTATTTAAAAAATCATCAACTTTATGTACATAATCAACTAATCAATTTACCTACCTACTTTAACTATTTACCTACGTATACTTTAATAATTGTTCAAAGTACATACCGTTCCTCTCCAAACAGAGTCTTGCACTTTTTCTGCACATTGTCTTTTAATTTTGCGAGCACTACCGTGTCATTTTTCACTTGGTAAAATGCCGCTCTGATTTGCACTTTTAAGTCCTCGAGGCTTTGTGCTTCCTCAACATACACACGTCTTATAATTTCGCCCCACAAATAAAAGTCACACTGTGGTAGGTCCGCAGGCCCCACGATGAGGCCTCCGCGTCACGTTGATCACCATGTATGTAACACTGCACCATTTCATAATATTCGCGATTGGAATACATTACGACGCGCGAAATGTGGCGCTGTGACGGGCGGTGCGCAACACGGAAGCAAAGGCGGAAGCGCATGCGTTCAAAGGGGTTGTGCGCGGGCGACTGACTGATGTGCGCCGACAAAATAAAAAACCGAGCAGACATTATTGTTGGCGCATGCGCGTACATCCCCTGCGCCCGCGCCCTTGCCACCCCTGCTGCCTTGTTTTATTCATAACTAATGTGACAATGCGAATGTTATAATTATCTTGTAATTGCAACAAGTTTACATTTCATTTTGAAAATTTTACATAACGTTTTTTTTTCATATATGTGATCTATTAACGATACCTAATGCCTAGAAAAAATTTGGAGAGTCATTTTAAATGCAGGCGGTATTTATGATATTGCGCCATGTCAGAAATGGCGTTTTCACGGGATTTTTTTAGATTTCAACTTATATGAATGATATTTTTTTAACATATATTTCAATAAAATAAAAATATTCTTAATTAAAAATGCTTGAAAAATCCTTTTTTTCTCTTGCACTCTAAGATGGGACTCGAACCAATAACTCTTTTTTTTTAGCGTGTTTCAATAAGAATACTATTCAAAACATCATTGTGAATGCAAAACTGATCAAATATAATAGAAATATTTTAATAATAATAATTTATTTCGCATGAATGTGGTATAGTAAGTTCTTATAACCTTTTAACAATTGACACATTCACCCACTTGTGGGTATGCAAAGTAATTTATAAAACTAATTAATCTAAACAAGTACATATTTTTATCATTACAATACATTAATTAATAATTAAATTTAAAACTTTCGTAATGTATGTATGTGTAAAAAATTTTTTTTTACTTATATAATGTCAAAAGCTTAATAGTGAAATAGCAAATGACAGATTTAAAATGTCACTTTGAAAATATTAATTTACCGTATAAAAACATTTTTCAGTAAACCATTTCTTAAGCATATGTTTAAATTTATTTGGTTCTAAAGTTTTTTTTTAGTAGGTAGGTTATTGTAAATTTTTGCCGCCATAGAGTGACAACTTCTAGAAAGAGTTCGACATTTTGGTAATAATAATTTGTTTGGGCGTCTGCAACTATATACAAGTGGTATGTCATACAATGAATTAAATAATAATGGATGCGTCTTTATAAAAATGCACATTTCATATATCATCATGTATAGACAGGGGATTTTAAGATACTCAGCTCCCTGATTATTATTAAAAAAAATCCGCTACTGAAACTAGTGTATTGTTTTGTCAGGCGGTATATCCGGCAACACGGACAGTGACCCGGCACGATCCGGCAAGCCGGTGGTGGTGATCGACGACTGCCAGTTCCACCAGTGCGTGAAGCTCAGCAAGTTCGAGACGGAACACTCCATCTCGTTCATACCGCCCGACGAGAGTTCGAGCTGATGAGGTACATTCATTCATTAAATATTAGAGATGCGCCGAATAGTCGTTTCGACTAATAGCCGAATACCGAATATTTTTCGGTTTGAACTTTACCCGAATCGGATATTCGGCCTAATTATTCGGTTTGCATATTGACTGACAAGTGAAAATACAGGTTTCTGTTGTATGTTCGGAAGATATGAACTATGAAACTTTAAAAAAAGTAGGGAAAATATGCTACAAAAAGGTTTTTTTTGTACAACTTTAACCTTTAGCGCTTTTAGAACGAATGACCATTCATTCATGAAACATATTGAAAACTAAATTCGACAATATCGTTCAATAACAATAACATCTTTATTGTTTTGAAATACAAATTAAATTTCAAATCAAAAACATTAACAGCCTGATAATTGATTCGTGAAAGATTGTTGGTGTTTTATAAATAACACTGTATACAGAAAATGAAGATTATAACGTAGGCACCACAGAACACGGAAAAGAGGTTAGAAAGGCGATCATGCATCCTTTGTACGAAAACCGATGTAGCCAGTCTTGCCCCACTTTTAGTCCGCCGTACATCAGACGAATAATCAGACCAATTATACAAAAGATATGCACACACTTGTTAATCTAACATAACAACATAACATAACAACATAACTAACATAACATCTAAATTTTAAACATGCCAATCAGAACGCTCCAATATAACTATAACCAATCACGCTCAACCATAACAGACATCTATAGTGCGCAATAAACGTGCAAAAAGCCTTTTAATTTGACATATCACACTAGTGATTGACATAAAGTTATTTACTATCGATATTGAAAAACAATAAGTCGATTAATTGAAAGGATACTAGATTAATGATTTCTTTTTATTATATTGGATATACATTGAATTGTATTGATTAAATGAGACATTATCTTTTTCTTTAGATATAAATTCTTAATTAGTTGGTTGATTCAATAAGAAATATTTAAATTACTAATGAACTAACATTGAATCGGTACTAGTCGAGCTTTAAATATATCATATAAATATGTTTGTTTATTAATAATAATAGTAGGTTTTTTCTTTTACGTTACGTTACTCGATTTCGTATCAAGTAAACAGATAAGATCGGCAACATCGCTTAAATGAAACTAGTAATATTGACAAACAATATAATGTAAATAAATATATACATGCTGCATAGCAATAAGGCCGCCTTTTGTATACTGTCTGATCTTTTTTCTTTCTTTGTAATGTGTCCTATATTTGTGCCATAAAAAATATTATTATTATATACAAAATAAAAAAATACTATCAGTACAATAAATTCTATTGGAACTTATCCTGAACAGACTCCGATGATTTAAAAAGTACTGTTGTTAATGGTTCAAAATAAAAAAAAAAAACTAGTTGTCTGTTTCAATACTTAGAATATAAAAACAGACTTATTACCACACTCATTATTAAATTAATATACAAAGGCATTCCAAACATTATTTTTTATTACCACTATTTTATTTATCGTCCATACTTTTATTTAGTTTTTACTACCTAACATCCCAAGAATCGATTAAATGTTTCCAGGCACTTCACTACCCATCTACCGTAATCTATTATGTTGCTATTTAAAACGTAGTTTTCGCGATATTCATTACATTACGTGCTTAGTACGACGCAATGTAATAAATATGCGCACTTCTCCAGCAATGTATATTTTCTTGGAAATATTTTTTGTGATTCACACTTTTGATAACATTTCAAGATTTTCGACTAAAAATACTAAATTTGAGATGTTCTACTTAATAATGGAAAGAAATCCTTTCTTTGGACCTACTTGAGGATGGGCTTCTTGTTTTGCAATTAATAACTGCGAAAGTCGGCATTTTTTAAAACTTTTAGTGGCGTGTTTCACAGCGCGCGCGTTCGTGAATGACTAACCATCGTGATCGCGTGGTGAAGTCACGATCCTGTACATTTGTCTAGGATCGTGGCTGCACTGCCACGCCCACAAGGCCCTTCTAAACGTCTTTCTGTGTTCTGTGGTAGGCACATACTTAAATAAGATATCGTGATAATAACAATACTTAATTTTTATTTCAAGGTATCGCACTACAAAGGATATATCGTTGCCTTTCCGTGTGATCCCATTGGTTCGTGAAGTGGGTCGCACCAAAATGGAAGTGAAAGTTGTATTGAAGAGCAATTTTAAACCTTCGCTGTTGGGACAGAAGATTGAAGTTAAGATTCCCACGCCACTCAACACCAGTGGGGTTCAACTCATCTGTTTAAAGGGCAAAGCGAAATATAAGGCATCCGAGAACGCTATTGTTTGGAAGTAAGTACGCGTTGTCTTTCTGTCACAAATAAGGAAAATAGTCGCTTGTAGAATGTTTTCTATATATTTATCTATATATTCACATCTTCTTAAATATTCTTAGTCTTATTCCTCACTCGAATGGACCAAACTGCTACTTTGGCCCTTATACATAGCAACTATTTATATTTAGGAATTTAAGTCTGCCAAGATAACTGTGAATTTATTACATATAACTGTTTATTTATTACAATGCCTGCCCTTAGCTTACGTTTTATTTTCGAATTTTCGTAAGATCTGTTTGTTATCGAATATCTCGAATATTATCTGTTTGTTAGAATAAAACGTATGGCCGGTATGAAAGAAACGCAGCTTTCCGCCGAGATCGAGCTCTTGGAGACTGATACCAAGAAGAAGTGGACCAGGCCGCCCATATCTATGGGATTCGAAGTTCCTTTCGCTCCCTCTGGATTCAAGGTCAGCTTTTGTTAATTGTTTCAGCGGGTCTATGACATAAACCTATATACTGCTATTAAAAGAAATATTAATTATTTTCAATTGTTCATGATTGAGAAGCTCGTTGGCGAAGTAATTAACGTGTTTGGTCTGCAATGTGGAGGTTAAGGAATGTAATTCATTTGATTTACATAATATGTATTATAATTCATCTGCAAACATGAAATTTGCTTACTTTGAACCATTTTACAACATACACACGCAAAGTATAAAAAAGAGGTCCATGAATGGATCCTGACGGCATTCCATTGAATATTATTGGAGAGTGAGTTTGAACTATGATTATTATTAAGAGAGACACATTGAAATCGTTTATTTAAATAACTGTTAACTCATTTCACTGCTGCAGTAACAAAACCATAATATGTCAAGTCAGAGAGTAAAAAAATCCGTATTATAGTGTCGAACGCTTGAGAGAAATCTAATAAGATTAAATAGGTTGTTATAACCATCTTTCTGAGCTTCTATGAATTTATCTTGTTACGCCAAGTACTTCCGTAGCAGTGCTATGGTTTAATCTAAATCTAGATCGTGCATAGGGAAGCATGTTATGTCAATAAAGATATTTTACAACCTGATGAAATCTCTTTAAAATTTTGGACAAACAAATAAGCTGCTGCTGCTGATTTTAGTCTTTTACAAATAGCAAGATTTATTTATTATTATAATAATCGTATGATAGCGGTTTTTTTTTTATTTGAAAACTTAAAATATATACGAGTATTATGGAAACATTATCAAACACAGTTATAGTTGTTATCGTTTGAAGAATCGTCAGACATATCTATTGATATTGCGGTTTCTTAATATTTTTAAGACAATTATTTGCCTTCGTCTTCTTTTGTTTTCATTTGATTTCAATATATAATTATGTTCATTCGCAGGTTCGCTATCTGAAGGTGTTTGAACCGAAATTGAATTATTCTGACCATGATGTAATTAAATGGGTGCGATACATCGGCCGCTCCGGACTCTACGAGACCAGATGCTAAAACTTACGGCTCACGGTGAGAAAATTATTACATAAAACATATTTTTTTATTTATTTATTATATTCACTTTGTTCGTAATTAACGGAAATTCGGAAAATTTATAATTGTCTTTTAATTTTGTTAAAACATATTTTATGAAGATCATCTGAAGGCAGTGTCAGGTTAATATGGGCATTTCAAAAATAGACGAAATTTTGTTTTCTAGTGATACTACTTGAAAAAGTATTATTTGATATTTATCTTGTAAAAAATATTTAATAAGTCTACAGTGTATTTCGACCCCATTTTGGGTAGAAAGAAAAAAAACAATTACTTAGTTACATTGGTAACATTACGTTATATATTTTAAACTAACGCCATCTATTGACAGCAGTTGTATAAATAATAAATATATTGACTGAATTATCTCCTTTCACAGGATGTTATTATCCGTATTTGGATGTTGCGAACGATTGGATACTGAAAGCAATGGCGTGTTACATAATATAGTATTCTATAGTTTTGTATATAATTTCATGATGATAATTCAGATTCAAATGCTAAAATTGCGTACATTTACATATGTTTCTTATTTTTCTAAGTTTCCAGTAATATTGAAATATATCTTTAAAAAATACATGTCTTAAACTCTAATATAAACTTATTATACAAGTAAAATGTCTTTGTTTGACAGGTGTATTATATTGAGAATATATTTCAGTATCAATAAATTGTACACAAAGCAGCAAATTATAGGACTTATTCATTATAAGATTATGGCTTAAAATCGATTGGAGGAGTTTTATTTTTGTAGTAATGTGACTACATTTTGTTAGGTTCTGTTGAAAGAGCATTTTTCAATGTAATAATGTTTCTATTGTCATTGAGTAACTAATGACAGTTGTAATGTCATTATACATTTATAAAAGCATTGTATAATATACATTTAAGATATAACACTATGCAATATAAAATAAGGTTCAATATCTATTTATATATATAATAAATACATGGAATCTCGTTTTTTAAATTGTATGTTTTTTAATCTTTTAAAATAGCTCAACGTGATTTGGTTGAATAATGTTTTCAAAATGCTTTTTACGGTTTCTAATGGATACATTTATAACCAGAGGTCGGAATTAGGTAGAGTTATTTATGTACTTGCATCGAAATGTTGATATTAATGTGGACCTTCGTGGCAACATCGCGCGTATTGGTATTTTCCAACTTTGGACATCCGATGTCATTGATGTAAGTTTGGCAACGTCGTGCCTGCAGCAGTTTAAATGGTGTAAAAATAAATAACTTTTTATTTAAAAAATCACGGGATTTTTTCTGCTCTTTAAAATTAATCTCGGGATTTGAGGCATATCCACTTTATTCTTTCGCTGTATGAAATCAGTGTAAGTACATGAATAACTCTACCTAATTCCGACCACTGTTTATAACACAATATATACTATTCATTATATATATATTTTTTAACTGTTATTTTAAACGGCTTGGATCAAGTTATGTAGAGTCTTCAAATAGGATCTTATATGTAAAGTATTAAAGTTCATTATCAGCTGGCTTAGAGATATAATTTAACGTGTACGTATTTAAACACTTAAATATTATGTGTATATTATGTTTATTAACAAAGTTTGATGAAATTGATAATTTGAATTGCTGTCGTTACACAAAATATGAATTCTGTGAATGATTTTTCTGCTATTAGAGTGTGTAATTAATTTTACCTATCCTTTTGTTTTAATGATAATTATTGTAAACGTGTGTGTAGGAAACGATTACGTCCTTATGATATGACCAAAATAATTAACCAGTTCACTGAAACCGGTTATAATGCGGAATTTTGAACTAGTTTTTTTTTAACTAGTTTATTTGTTGATATAATTATTGGGTATGTGTATTTTTTTGTCACGGAATTGTTTTGAGACCAAATATTGTTATATATATATATGTAATATATATATGATCCACAAACTGTCTCATGGTGCTAGAGTGCATGTGATAGGCTTTTTAAAATTATACCTATAAAAACAAAGTAGGCGATATTTATGTATAACAAGTTTATACTTAGATATGGAGGTTATCATAAGTTTTTTTTTCCTTTTAATTATGTATTTACCAATCAATACCTTCTTTAAACACTCATAAGCAATTAGAGAGTTGATAGCAACGCATGTGCTAATCGTGGCAAGAAAGGGGGGGCTTGGAAAAAAAACCCGACATTTAAAATAATATTTGGCAGAATTTTTCCAGGTTATCATTAAAAAGCATTTGAAATTCATATTATTATTAATAGAGTTTCTTTAAGTAAGCTTACGGAGCTACGATTACTCTTCACTTAACATTTTTAGTGGTATCTCTAATTTTCCAACAATTTTAATATCAGTATTTATAGTTGAGTAAAAGTTAATACTTGAATAAAAGTAAAGTTAGTTCTTGTTTCATTCAAATTCTCGTCTAGTGGTTAAAATTATCTGCTTTAGTAATGATATATTCTTAAGTTACTACTTCTCTCTACTGTTATGTCGATCTATATACAAGTATGAGTGTTTATAGAGTGTAGTAACCGTTTTCAGTGTAGACTGGTTAATATAAAGGTCAATCAAACTCAAGAACCTTACCATTCCTTTAGATTCTAGAGATATAGCCCTACACTTTGTATAAGTAGGCATGGAATATGTTTAGTTTTAAATATCACTAATAATATAAAAGTTAATATAATTATCATCATTAAACAGTAGAGTAATGCTAATAAAATTCCTGTTGCATCCAATTGTTTCAACATGAATTATGTTTGTTCGATACGTTTTGAAACTGTCCCTTTTCTATGGGGATAAAATATATTGTAAGTGCATGCTGTTATAGGAAATGCTTATATTGTATCGTGTTACAAAAAGATGATGTACAATAAATTATAAAAAAATATTTGGTGTTTCATTATTTCGTGGTATGCTTGCTGTCGGAATGATTTTTTAATGGGTAAGAGACAAAACTAATCAATATTGAAATTAACTGACAAAAGGTTAAGGTTTAAAATTGAGAAAGTTGGCCTTTCGTATTAAAGTGTTTTGACAATACACAGTAGCGCATCCTGTTACTGCTTTATTCCATATTGCACTCTGTTGACAGCGGCTGACAGAGATAATTAGTCTGGGGACTGGAGTGAGGACTTGGGATGATTGTTTGTAACCGAAAAGTTTATTAAAGAAGATAAGACATTACAAGAATTGTTTATTATTAACTATCCGAGTTGTACATGGTGGCAGCGGTGTACAATGTCTGAGCAAAGTAATATTTTATCAGTGGTCCAAAATGTAAGAGCTCCGGAAGAATTTAGTTTTGAGCCGGAAAATTGGGATAAATGGCGGAAGAGGTTCATGCGTTATGTACAAATTAGCGGTACCGAAAATAGAAAAGAAAAGGGAAAAGTAAATTTACTGATTTATTTATTAGGAGAAAAAGCAGAACAACTCGTGAAGCAGCTCAAGATTAAGGAAACAGAAAATAGCCTTGAATCCGTAATCAAGACATTTGATGAATATTTTTTGCCGCGTAAAAATGTAATTTTTGAAAGGTACAAATTTAACATCAGATTGCAGCAAGATGGAGAAAGAGTGGCTGAATTTGTAAAGGAGTTGCACAAGCTTGCTGAAAACTGTGAATATAGAGAATTAAAAGAAGAATTGATCCGAGATAGGTTAATTGTGGGGTTGGCTGACAGAAAAACAAGTGAAAAATTACAACTAATGCCGTCACTTACACTACAAGAGGCATACAAGCTGGCTTGCCTTGCTGAAGAACAACGAAATGAAGCCAAAGTTATATGGAAACAGGAAGAAAGTTGGAACTTGAATAAAATAAATAAAGCTGTAGAAAAAAATAGAAAATGTTGGTGGTGTGGAAAATGGGAAGTTCATGGAAAATATAGATGTCCAGCAGCAAAACTGATGTGTCATAAATGTAAGCGAAGAGGTCATTTTGCAAGATGCTGTAAGGAAAGAAAAGTAAATTACGTTGAGAATGAAAATGAAGCGTTTATGTTAGAGGTAGAGTTAGAAGCTGACAGTTATAAAAATAAGGTAAAATTTCTCATAGATACTGGTGCTGATATTGTAGCTATACCATATAAAACAGTAGGAAAATTATGTAAAATACTTCCTAGTACAGAAATTATAAGGGGGCCAGAGAGTATTCAGTTGCAAGTATTAGGGTTTATATGGGTTCAATTGACTTACAAAAATAAGACTTATGCAGGTAAGGCATTTGTAATAAAAAATTTACAGGTTCTTATATTAGGAAAACCAGCTATTCACAAATTGAAAATATTAAAATTGTGTAATATGAGCAAGAGTTGTAATAGTCTGGATAATAGCATTAATATAGAAAAGGAGTACCCAAATATTTTTAATAATTTAGGGGTTTTTAAAGAGGCTTATACTATTAAATTAATACCAAACCCTACTCCTTATGTTCAATCAACACCAAGAGTAGTTCCTTTGCCTCTTTTGGACAAAGTGAAAGTAGAATTAAATAAGTTAGTTGATCTGGGAGTTCTTGTCCCTGTAGAAGAGCCAACTATGTTTGTGTCACCTATTGTTGTTGTTCCAAAAGGGCAAGGTGGTGTAAGAATTTGTGGAGACTACACCCAGGTAAATAAAAATATTGTCCGTCCAATTTTTCCAATTCATAAGTGGAAAACACATTAGGTAGACTGAAAGGCTCCAAAATTTTTTCTAAAATTGATGCTACGTCAGGGTTTTTTCAAATTAAACTTTGTGAAGAGTCCCGTAAGCTTACAACTATACTTACCCCGTTTGGTAGGTATATGTATGATAGACTCCCTATGGGATTAAATTGTTCACCTTAATATTTCTCTATGAAATTTTCTAATTTATTTAGTGATTTAGAAGGGGTTGTGATACATGTTGATGATATATTGGTACATACAAAAGATGAAAAAGATCATGTTAAGTTATTAAGAGAGGTATTGAATAGGTTAACAAAAGAAGGATTAACTATAAACAAAGAAAAGTGTGTCTTTATGGTGGAGGAAGTTACATATTTAGGGCATATTATTAATAGTAAAGGTATCTCACTTGATCCTAAAAGAACAGAAAGCATAATAAAATTTAAAGTTCCTTCTAACAAGAAAGAATTGATGCAATTTTTAGGATTAGTGAATTATGTGGGTCGTTTTATCCCAGATAGATCAACAATTCTAGAGCCATTATATGGATTAATAAAACAGGGTGTAGCATTCATGTGGAATGGAATTCAGCAGCAAGCATTTGATAAAATTAAAGGTTTAATATCAAAAGCACTTACATTGTGTCTTTTTGATCCGAAACAAAAAAATATTATATCAGCTGATAGTAGTTCATATGGGTTAGGGGCAGTTCTTTTACAAGAGGATAAGTTGGGATATAGAAAAGTGGTTTCATATGCTAGTAGGACATTGAACTCTACAGAAAAAAATTATGCTCAAATAGAGAAGGAGTGTTTAGCATTAGCTTGGGCAGTGAAAAGATTTAGAGATTTTATAGTAGGAATTGAAATAATTTTAGAAACTGATCATAAACCCCTCCTACAAATATTACAGACAAAACCCATTGATGATTTAACACCTAGATTATTAAGGTTTAGATTACAGTTAATGAGTTACAACTATAAAGTTGTCT